TGTTCTTCTATTCGAATGTCCTGAATTCCGGCACGTATAAGGAGACGCCAGAGATCAGACCATTAGTTCTCGAATGCCTGAACTATATTATGAACGCTACAAAAACATTATTTTTTCTTTTATGAAATCCATCAATTTTGTGTTCATACAAAGTTCTTGTAAATTTAGTAACAAAAGTGTTGTATTTCTTTAGCATTTAGAATAAATTTCTTATATATTTTGCATTTGTGTTCTCATGAATTACGTATGCATGTGAATTGAGTATACTAGTATAATGCAGATGGCATAACAATAACATGCAGTATGAACTATTAAAGTGCACATATCATCTTATTTAAGTGCAATATACAAACTCATAATAATAAGATGCACGATATGAACTTCTAAAATGCATATCTCATCTTAGTAACATGTGGTGTATGAACTTCTAAAATGCACATTCCGTAATAATAAATGCAACATATGAACTACTTAAAGGCAGATGCCATAAGGATAAGATGCAGTATGAACTTCTAAAGTGAGCATATCATCTTACTAAAATGCAATATATGAACATAAAATGCAGATATCATAATGATAAAACGCAACATATATGACTTACTAGAATGCAGCGTTGACATATTTTATCATTGTGCAATTTTAATATGTTATGGAGACGTTTTAAATTTATAATGCACATCACTTAACCTTAATATGCACATCATGTAACATTAATATGCACATCACATGAACTAAGTATATATGCAGACACTTCTACCTGTATGAGCTTCTTACAAATTTAAATTATAATCAAAATGTTATATGAAGATCTTTAAATCGTGCAATGATGTTCGATTTTCAAAAAAAAATAAAAAAATGTAGAGACTATGCAACTTTCCTTAATATAACTTCATATATTTGAACGGTTAAAATATTAGTGGAAAGTTAGTGGGTAGTTAGCATAAATGGTGGGATTTAGACATTATTATATTTCCAATTTTAAATTTACGGCTTGATAAGTTTAAATTGAATTTACCCATGTGACCTTCTCATTAATCGTTGGATGCTAATAGGATTTGGGTTATTTTATTCCATGTATGTCACCACACACACAACAATACACTTTACGTATCATGGCTCTTTATTTCTTAATAACGGACGGATGAGATTAGTTTGTAGTTTGTAAGGGAGAACTAGTTTGTATGTGATCTCAACCCTATATATATATATATATATATATATATATATATACTAGTTTTGCGACGCGCATTATGCGATAGGAATATGCCCAATATGAATTTTATAGTGTTTCTATTAGGATATATTGAGTTACACAAAATTTGTATGAATTTAAACAAATTTTTGTTAACTTTTACATAGTTGCTAATCAAATAGATTGTTAGGATTTTAGATTATGAGGATATAATTGGTTCAAGAATCATGTGGGATACCAAACCAACCGAATCGAAATCGGACCATATGCAATTTAATTGGATATTGGTACTATTTATTTCAAACCGTATTAAACTGAACCAAACCGAAACCGATAAAACCAAACAAAATGAACCGAACTAAAGAAATTAAAAAAGAACTTCATATATTATTGAAAATTAACAAATCCAAACAGAACCAAACTGAACCGAACGAACCGAAAAATATTATGGTTTTTGTTTGGTAATAATTCTTCGAACCCGTTCCAAACCGAAACCGATAAAAACTGAACCGAAAACCGGTATGCTCACCCCTATGGGATACATAGCGATTGAGACTTGAGAATTTGAATTTTTTTTAAAATATTATAAAAAACAAACATCACTTGTCTCTACTATGAGAATATGTGACAGAAGTCATTCCTATGTAAGATCACTGTGAATTATATTAGATCTATACTTTAGAATATGCTTTATAATATTATAGGAATATACTCTAAGATGTTATTATTATAATCTTATAAGAATATTCTATATTTGTAATGTATATTTATAGGGTTTTAACACTCCAATAGAATACACAGAAAATCCTCTCCAATATTATTTCTTAGTTTATGTGCTATATTCTAACATGGTATCTGAGCCATCCATTTCAGTTTTTTTTATTTCAATTTAGTTTTCAGATTTCAGTTTAGGTTTCAGATTTTAGTTAAGTTTTCAAACTCAATTCTTTCTCAAAGAACCTGAGTTCATATCAGAACCTCGGTGCACCAATCTGGACAGAACCTCTCTACACATAATCACCATTAACCAGAATCTCTATTCAGAACCTTAGTTCAAGCGAATTCAAAATCTTGGTACCAAGCAAGTTAGCAAACTACATCCATCCCTGCAAGGGCTCTTCTATTCCAAATGAATGTGTCTAAACAGTTTTGGGCTGATGTCGTGTCTACCGCGTGTTTTTTGATAAATCGTATGCCAACTTCTGTTTTGAATGGTAAAGCTCCTTATCATTGTTTGTTTCCAAACAAAGAGCTTTTTCCTATCCCACCTAAAATATTTGATTGCACCTGTTTTGTTAGAGATGTTAATCCTCATCTTACAAAGCTAGATGTCAAATCATTAAAATTCTTTTTCTTAGGGTATTCTCGAGTTCAAAAGGGGTATAGATGTTTTTGTCCAAGTATAGGTCGACATCTTGTTTCTATTGATGCATCCTTTCTTGAAAATACACCTTTTTCATCATCTAAGGCAGATATACTCATTTAGACGATAATTGTACTTGAGTCCACACTTTCGACAAGTATTCCACAAGTTACTGTTCCTGATTCTAGGCCTCCAATACACTTGGTATACACCCATCGGCACAAAGCACTAGATCACCCTCCACCTGTGACATCTGTGACTACTTATCCTTATATTGGTCCAACCTTGATCTGATGTCGTGAACCAGCACCTGCATCTTCAGATCTTGTCTCTACATCAGCTCTTGACCTCCTGATAACTCTGCGTAAAGGTACATGGTCTTGTACTCATCATATTTCTTCATTTGTATCGTATAATCAGTTATCCCCTGTCTCATATTCTTCTATTGCTTCCATTGATTCTATTTGTGTTCCTAAATCTGTCAAAGAAGCTTTGTCTCGTCCTGAATGGCGTCATGCCATGGTAGAGGAAATGAATGTTTTAGATCTTAATGGTACTTGGGATTTGGTTGACTTGCCTACAGGGAAGAAATCTATTGGATGTAAGTGGATCTTTGTTGTTAAGGTTAACCCAGATGGATCTGTTGCTCGGTTAAAAGTCCGATTAGTTGCGAATGGTTATGCTCAAACATGTGATGTTGATTATTTTGACACTTTTTCTCCTGTTGCTAAATTAATATCTGTGAGGTTACTTATTTCACTCGTTGTAACTCATGATTGGCACTTACATCAGTTGGACATTAAAAATGCATTCTTGCATGGTGACCTTCATGAAGAAGTTTATATTGAGCAACCTCCGGGATTTGTTGCTCACGGAGAGTATGCTAAAGTTTGTCGACTTCGCAAGTCTCTTTATGGTCTGAAACAGAGTCCTTGTGCATGGTTTGGGAAATTCAATCAAACAATTGAACAATTTGTGGTGTATGTCGATGATATTGTGATTACAGGAAGTGATAATGCAGGTATTTTGGCCCTTAAAAATTTTCTGCATAGTCAATTCCAAACGAAAGATGTTGGCTCATCGAAATACTTTTTGGGGATTGAGATAACACAGAGTAAGAAAGACATATTTTTATCTCAACGTAAATATGTACTTGACTTACCAGCTGAGACAGGAAAATTAGGGGTAAACCCAAGTAATACTCCCATGAATCCCAATGTGCAACTCACTAACGAAGGCATGCCATTTAAAGATCCGGAAAGATATAGAAGATTAGTTGGAAAGCTTAATTATCTTGCAGTTACCCGTCCAGATATTGCGTACTCGGTGAGTGTAGTGAGTCAATACATGTCATCTTCGACTGTTGATCAATGGAAAGTTGTAGAGCATATATTATGTTACTTGAAGGAGACATCGGGACGAGATATTGTTTATCAAAATAATGACCACATGAGAATAGAATGTTTTGCAGATGCTGATTGGACTAGATTTGAAGATGATAGGAGATCTACATCTAACTATTACGTCTTTGTTGGTGGTAATCTCGTCTCCTGGAAAAGTAAGAAGCAGAATGTGATTTCTGGTTCTAGTGCTGAATCAGGATATCGTGCTATGACACCATCTGCATGTGAGATAATCTGGATAAACCATTTATTGAGTGAAAATTGAATTGAAGACACCAATGCCTGCGAAACTGTGGTGTGATAACCAAGCTGCTATACATATTGCCAACAATCCAGTGACTCATGAGAGGACAAAACATGTTGAGGTCGATTGCCATTTTATTTGAGAGAAGATACAAAAAGGATTGAGCTCTACAGGATAAGTTGCGACTAGAGAACAACTTGGAGATTTGTTCACTAAAGCTCTAAAAGGAGTTCAAGTTGGTTACATATGTAACAAGTTAGGCATGATAAATATATGTGCTCCAACTTGAGGGGAGTGTGAAATATACTAGAATATACTTTAAAATATTATAGGAATATACTATAGGATATTATTATTGTATACAATCTTATAAGAATATTCTATATTTGTAATTTACTAATTTGTATTTATAGGGACTTAACCCTCCGATGAAGTACACAGAAAATCTTCTTCAATATTATTTCTTAGTTTATGTGGTCTAAATTAATTAACGATCTCATCTACAAGCAGCATGTGAGATAAAATGTTACAGGGTAAAATAGAAGGTCAGAGCTCGAGCTCGACAAGGATGAACGCTAATTGTTCCAGGTGCTTTATAGAACTTGGTCCACTTTGTCTCAATGTCTCTTTTCTTGCTATAGCACCTGCCTCATACTTGTCTAACATATTCACCAAATAAGTGAATAACCCACTAAACAATCCATTAAAGAATCTGACAAAAGCCCACATCTCGTTCTCTTCTGGTTCCTTTAAAACCTGTTTCACATGCTTCTCAAATGCAGTGATTTGCTTGTAAATGGCATCTTCATTTATTATCCGTAATGCATGTCAATGCAATAGAGGTCGCAGGTTACATGTTAATATTCCACCCGTGCAATCATTATCTTTTAGAAACACAAAAACTGGTCTCTACACCCCACGTTTTGTGCTCTTAAAGAATGCACTTATGCACCTTAGAGCATCGGAGTAAATCTATGATCATGTTAAAATTTTCAAGAAAAAACTAGACATTGTTTTTCTCAATCCTAAACAACACTAGTACGTTTTTTATCCTATCCAGAACTTCAACCTTCTTACAAGAAAGTAAATGTTAATTTCCTGCTACAAACTTCCTATTAGCAACAACATTCTCGAAGTCATCTCCCCCGTGTAGCACCCCCGGCTGGTGGTTCATTAAACCTTTCATGCAATACTCATTCTGCTTCGTTGACCATGCCAGCATTGCCATCTGCCTTTGTATTTTCCGCACTTGAAGAGCTGCCGTTGTTTTCATTTGCAGCATCTTCTGCCAACAGAGACCCATTCAAAACTGCTTCAGATGGAGGGGTCTCATTGTGGGCACCATTATCCTTCGAAGGGGCATCTGTCTCCATTGCATCATTTGCAGTAGCTTCCGCCAATGGAGACCCACTAAGCACGGGTTCAGGTGTAGGAGTGTCCTTATGGGGACTATTTTCTGTTAAAGGGGCATCTGTGTCCATGGCATCTGTGTCATTTTCCTCTGGTACTACAGGCTCGGGATGAGCTGAAGTTTGGTTGAATTGATGGCTCATAGCGCGTGCCTGTAAAATGTGAAAATAAACAGAAGTGGTCAATCTTCCGCTCCCTCTTTTTATTTGATCAAAAGTGGGTATTCCATGGGGTTTGAGAGTAAAATGATAGGAGGGGGGATGAGAGTAGAAAAACTTAAAAAGTTATAAAGTGAAGATAAACAAAGTTAAGGTTATCTATATATTTTTATATGGTAAAACTGGCCGAATTAGAAAAGTGGAGCACATAATAAGAAACTTCCAAAAAAATGAATGTGGAGCAAATAAACAATGGAGGAAATATTAAACTACATGTTTGGGTGAGGTGTGACTGTGTGTGTATCGATGAGGTGCAAGGGTAGAGGGTAACCCTTATCTAGGAAGGATGAAAGAAAAATCGAAGGAGACGATGGTAGTGAAGGTTCCCTCGCTAAACCACATTTTGTGCTTATTTGATTGTGTCCTAGTTTGGTGTCCTTCACCCTTTACCCCATCCTGGAGCACAAACATGTGCACTATTTTCTTCCTGTGAGGTGATCACTTCAATTTACCCTCCTCACCTGCCTAGTTGCCTACTTTATCCTCTTAAAAAAGGAAGATGCAACTACCTACACCTCCCCCTCCCTTTCCATTACTTACGACTCCCATCGCTTCCATTCACCTCATTGTATCAGAATAAGCCCATCCACAGACTAGTCTAAGCCAATGTTGTTAAACTCCCAACCCAGACCTGAATCTTAGGCACTAAGCTCTTGTTTGACATCTAGCTTATTTAACACCGATTAGGTGTAGCATGTTTTGCAACAGTGGTCCAAAAAGATACCTGATAGATCATGTGCATCCTATAATTTACAATATTTGTCATTTCATCAATGCCGCTAACAAGATGGACTGCTCCGGTTTCATCAACATGACGGTCTGTGTATGATGTAATCTCATGTAGATTCAAAGCAAGGCAGTCTGGCCTTTGTAGCAGAAGTTGAAATGTAGGTTGCAGTTCATAGCATTGATCGAAAAGAGCCCGTCGGCAAAAAACATATAGCCCTAGACGAGCACGAGACATTGCTACAACCAGCCTTCTAACATCCCGAAGATGGCCCACAAACCGCGTTCGTACCAGAGACAATAGGATGAAATCATTTTGTTGCCCTTGGAATTTGTCAACAGTTGTAATCTACACCCAAAAATGATGACAGGTATTGAATAAATGAACAACATACCAAAAAGCTTTAAAACAGAAAAAGGGCACTGAAGACAGATATCCAAAAAGCCAAGAAGTGAAACTCTTAAGGCAAACATAAACTCATGACGAGCAACTACAACTTTAAATTTAAATCAGAGATTCTTGCAACACCTAAAGCATACAACAACATCCAAGCCTTATTCCCAAAAAGATTTTTGGGGTCGGCTAACATGAATCAATCCATGATATCAGAGCAAAAAGCAACAGCAACGGTACCCTAAAGCATAACGTCAAACAAAATAACTGGACAAAAACAAAGGAGTGAAACTTTAAGGCAAACATAAACTCAGAAGGAACAACTGCAACTTTATATTTAAACCAAAGATTCGCACACCTAAAGCATGACATCAAACAAAAAATTGCATAGAAACAAACAAGAAATGAAATTGGGACCCAAACTCTATACTGCTATATAATACAGCGGCTATAAGAACAGAAAGTTAGACTATGCTTTACGTAATTCCCTTGCCTCTTTTTTAAGTAAGATGAATAAGTTTGCTTACGCATACCATGAAAGTAAGAATTTACCTTGCTTGGTGGGCCAATGAAGTCATAAGGAACACATCGTCTATTAACAACATCACGTATCAAAAGTTTCTGACCGTTGTAAGTTGTTAAGATTGAAATCTTATTTGCAGGGTACCCAAGTAAACGCATGTAAATATACACACTAACTAGATATTCTGCTTCACCCTCATTCTGATAGAACCAAGGAGAGGGTGCTGTTTCTCCTTTCCCGTGGTGATCAGGCACATCAACCAACTGATAGTCATATGAAAATCCTGAATTTGCTTTCTGAAAAGAGGCCCTCTCCTTGACGTTAGGAAGATCACCGAGGTCTCGGTATCTCCAATTATAAAGTCTCGCCAAACTTGGCCTTGCCCTACCTTGGGCATTAAGCTCAATATAAGGAATCCCCAGCCGGACAAATCTTGTGAATAGACTCTGATCCATATGACTGTACTTTTGAAATGCCATGTTTTTCACAACAGGAGGCAGCTGGTGGTGGTCACCAATCAATATGCATCTTTTAAGACGAGCATAGCCATCTTCCTGCCTTTGAAGCAACATGGGTATGAACGTCTCAATCTCTAATATCTGAGCACTTTCTTCCATTAGCAAATTGTCATACTTAAACCCAAGCTGAAGAAAGTCCTTCCTCTTAAGTGCTGCATGGGTGCAAGTCATTGCCACAATTTTTGCCTGTTTGGTCATCAAGTAATTTGATCTGTCAACAGTCGACTTGAGCAATTCAAATGCCCTACATTCTTCAAGCTCTTGAAACATAGTTTTCAGATGACGAAAACACCCCTTAGCAATGTGCATGTCTCTATCAAAAGACTCGCCTGTAAAAAGTGGCTGCTGAGCATTAGAGAAAAAGTCTTTAAAAGGAAACCTGTCCTGGACAAACGTGAGTTTGTGATGGTTCTCAGCAGAGGCAGCTAAAAACTGTTCCCAGCGTGAATAAACATGAAGCAGCCAAAAGTACCCTGCAGTTTCACAAGTATATCCAACATCTTCGGGCAATTGGAGAGACCTAGCTAGCCTCTCCACTTCTCTAAGCAACTCCAGACGCCGAACAAGCATTGCATTAACACGGCCTTGTCGGCTGAAATCTAGATCAGTTGCTAGTTCTTGCTCTCCTTGACCAAGACGAAGAAGATATCGAGCTGGCACATCCCTCTGTGACCAAAATAATAATAAAAATGTTCTTAAATTACTATATATATGCACACACACTCATAAAGATAAGCAAGGTAAGGTATACCACATGCATAAAAGGGGGAACAAGATCATTAAGGATACACTTTCAACAAGAGATGGCGAATTTTAGCCCCTCTTTTTAGCAATGTTAGTCCATTATCAATTTTTGCATACACCATGGTAAGCAAAGAAATCCATAAAGGAAGCACGAGGAAAAATGAACAAGGAGGTGCATGTAAAGTAGGAAGGTCAAAAAAACATTTATAGACTTGCTCATCTTCATGATAGGAGAACTCAAGATATCAGAAATGTTAAGTGTGTGAAGGATATAGACCGCCCAGTTTGACTTTGCGGTCTCCTAGGCGGACGTTTAACCCTAATTATCTATAAATATACACCTATATAATCTATAATGATTAATGAATTAACATTTGAATAATACATATTACAATGAAACACATACAATGATTTTTTTGTGACAAAATATTGTTGTTTTTGAGTAATTGACGGTCAAAGTTTAACAAGTTTGACTCAAAAGTCATAATGGGACTTTAATTAAGGGACAGAGGTAGTATATTATTTAAACCCTTTTTATCTTATCATTTTTATGTATATCTTATCACTATTTTATCTTATCTTTTTTATCTTACCTTATCCTTTTAGCTTTCTTTTCCTTTTGGCTCCGAAATCATGTATCATTCATGTTAGCCGATCCAAGAATCTTTTGGGACTAAGGGTTGGATGTTGTTGATAGAGATCAGGGGGTGGGGGCGGGCTTGAGCCCACCTTCGTGAGCTGGCTGCAGGCCATTTAATTAATTTTAACTATTCCTTTTATTTTGTTTCCTTATTTATTTTGTTTCCTAGTATGATTTAATCAGGACTTCTATTCTTATTAGAATTAGAGGTTTCCTATTTCTATTTAGTTTCCTAGAATGGTTTAATTAGGACTTCTATTCTTATTAGAATTAGAGGTTTCCTATTCTATTTAGTTTCCTAGTACAGTTTAATTACGATTCCTATTCTTATTAAGACTTAAGAGGGTTATTTAAACCCCTATGGAGGGCTGTTGGAATCATCAATCAATAATATTGGAGTTTTAGCTTTAAGCTTGGGCAACGGTTGCTAACCGTTGATTATTTTATTTTCTGCTCTCATCATTTGGTCTGACCTGCCGGATCCCGTCCCGCTGGAATGACGAGATCTCAGAACGATCGTTTGACAGATGGAGGCTGAGCAAGCCCGAATGGGGATTTAGCAAAACCGGATGAATCACCCTGGAAGAACACGGCATGCAGCTGGCTGAAATCGCTGCATCCCTAGCAGCGCTATCCAAGGCCTTTCTGCCGCCGGTCACGACGGATACATCATCAGACGCGGTAGGCAGTATCGCCGTCACAGCGCACAGCAGCGAGGAACTTCCGCGTAGCACCCCTCCAACCTTGCTGCCCACGTTCGACGGTGAAGACCCTATCGGCTGGATAGCTCGGGCTGAACAACAGTTTGAATTAAATGGAACCTAGCGGAAGGGGGTGCTCTATTGGGTAACCTGGCTGACAACGCGCAAACCCGGCATGACCTGGGGACAGGTTTGAACGGCTGTCCGGCGTCAAACAGATCGGATCAGTGGAGGACTACAATACAGTTGGCCAGCCAAGTTCTGGAATTGACTGATGAACATTATTTGGGATACTACATGAATGGACTGAAAGAATCAATCTGAAGCTCGCTGCGCTTATTTCGACCAATAACTTGGAAGAGGCCATGGAATTAGCTCGCAATGTGGAGTCCAATCTGTCGGTTCAGAGTGGAGGAAGAGGTAGTCCAAATTATAATCCTACAGGGACACGTTCCAGCAGCTTTTCACTGCCAAACACAGGTCCTCCGTTGACTGCCAGTGGTGGCAGCATACAGGGATCGAATGGCAGCTTCCCAAAAGATAGTGGGCAGACCCCAGGGACAAATTCAGTGCTGTTCGGGCAGTTTACGGCACGCTCTCACTCTCTCAGTTCACTCGACTTCCGCTGAAAGAGTTAGCAGAATTGCGGGCTAAAGGATTATGCTTTAGATGTAAGAAACCATTTACACCAAGGCATGACTGCCCGTTTAAGCGGTTGCGGGTAATGATTGCTGAGAAGGATGAGGAGTTGGACCTCCAACAGCATGAGTATTGTGAAATAACCGGCCAGGAAAGGGTTCAGAAAGGCTAGGGGGTACGGAAGGAGATTTCAGCCCTCGATCTGTGAGATTTCAACCTTGAGGACAAGGTTATTTTGAAGGAGGATGGTTTGATAGAGAGCAGGGGGCGGGAACGGGCTTGAGCCCACCTTCGTGGGCTGGCTGCGGGCCATTTAATTAATTTTAATTATTCCTTTTATTTTGTTTCCTAATTTATTTTGTTTGCTAGTATGATTTAATTAGGACTTCTATTCTTATCAGAATTAGAGGTTTCCTATTTCTATTTAGTTTCCTAGAATGGTTTAATTAGGACTTCTATAGTTTTATTCTTATTAGAATTAGAGGTTTCCTATTCTATTGTTTCCTAGTATGGTTTAATTAGGATCCCTATTCTTATTAAGACTTGGAGGGTTATTTAAACCCTTAAGGAGGGCTGTTGCAATCATCAATTAATAATATTGGAGTTTTAGCTTTAAGCTTGGGCAACGGTTGCTAACCGTTGATTATTTTATTTTCTGCTCTCATAAGTTGTTGTCGACCATCCCTGGCCGTACCCTTGAGTAGAGGTTTTAGTCCGACGTTTTTAATGTGGCTGGTGGGGAAAAGTACTAAATCTGCCACCAAGGAGTATAACCAAGGCTATTTTTTGCAAAATTTAAAACGAACTATAATTGCCAAAGTTGCATACCTGAAGGCAAAAAAAGGAACATATCCTTGGCATAACGACAAGTTATAAACATTCAGTGTGTAATATACCTCCATTATTTTCTCAAAGACATCATTTAGAGCTTGATTTGAATGAGTTATTATCAAAGTTCTCTGAGATGGGCAATTATGATATAGTACATTCAAAATCTGCACAGCTGTATCCGTCTTTCCCGTACCAGGTGGACCCACAACCATAGTTAAACCTGGCTGAATGCCAGAAATGATCGCTCCAATCTACATAAAAAGAACAAATAAACTAACTCATACTTGCCCCACATGCCAAAACAGACTCTCTAAAGCAAGAAAAACCGCCAAATAACTTATTCAAGTTTACTAAGTACCTGAGTTGGGGTAAATCTGACCGAGTTCTGCTTTGGCTGGTCCTGGGGGTATGGACCAGGATCAGGGGGGATATAAGCCTCAACAATAAGTTCTTCCTTTTTGGAAAGAGCACCTTCTGTGTTGACAGTCTCTGAAGAGGCTACTATAGACTTAGTGTTCCCAGGAACTGCATGAGGATTCCCTTTCAGGTCCCTGGGAAGTCTAATTTTGAACGGAGGGCTAGGCTGCAAATTTTCTGTGCCATCGGTGTTTACAAAGGAAATCTAGAAACAAGAAATGTAACACTATAAGAACAATGCACTCAAACGTCTCAGAGTGACACAAAAAACATTTAGTACGTATAATATAATAACAAAGAGAAAAAGGGTAAACCTGATAATCTGAGAAACATTCCCGAACATGATTTGCATCAAGAAAAGTATCTTTGAAATCAACTACTTCAAGAAGGTCAGGCATACAAGTCCACTGTGCAGCTGAAGGGTGTCCGTAGCCCAGAAATATGTCATGCAACCAATCAGGGACAATACAAGTTTCGTTCATCAGATCTCTTATTGATTCCAAAATTGCTTTGAAATTGTTTTCCTTTGGTTTCCTTCTCATTAAGATGTTAAATGTACTGTAGATATCCTCAGCACCTTTCTCTGCAATATCACTAACATCCATATGATATTGTGCGGTGTCAAGGGCAATAGTAACAGTTCTGAGATCTCCTTTGGGAGGTTTCCATTCATCCCGCTTGATTCTCCCTGTGAAATCATTCATCAGAGTCCCCTCTTCATCTCGCATCTCAATAATTTCACATCCACGGACACATTGAAGGCCAAGTCTCTGTGGTACAGTTGCGTTAGCTGCCTCTTCAGCACTGAGGGGCTCAAATGAAGGACGAATTGACAACAAAAAGAGAACATCATGCTCTTTAAGTGCATTCCATTCTGATCTTATTTGGGCTTTATAACTGGCAATGCTGAAAGTTACTTCTGCTGTTACAGAAGATGGCTTAACTTCCCCAACATTTGCCTGTTTTACCTCTGAAATTTTGAACTCTTTAAACGGAACAGCCATGCGAGACCAACCACGAAATGCAGTTTCTCCTTCATTGTTAATATAAGCAAGGAGATGTGGTACAGCTTCCTGAATATCTTCACGGATTTCATATGTTGATTCAAGGCGGAACAGATTAAAATTCCTAAGGAGATAATCGTGAAGGGTCAAAAACTGTAGATTGAGTTTCGGCAGTGCAAGACACCCTTCTCCTGTGTAGTTAATACTAGGTACAAGACTTTCATCCCACATAATCTGTTCATTCGGGTAAAGAGGAAGAGCATTTATGGCCTCCCTCTGAGATTGCTGCCTCTCAAAAAATGAAACCATGACTTCAATCAAAAAATCAACCCTTTCTGACCAGGGGTCATCCTTGGATATCAGTTTAAGCTGTAATCATGAAAAAGATAAATCCAATGTAAGCAATGTAGCCATGGGGAAAAAATCATTTCAATTATGGTAAAGACCTGCAAAAATGATATAGTATCCATCCACTAAAAAATCTAACTTAATAGAGTGATTTGATTCAGTGGCCGGAATTGAACTAATTGAAAAGAATTGCTGGGAATTCAGTAAAACCATGCATTGGTTGACCAGAATTCACTCAAATCCCAGGAATTCAGAAAAAAACGTATAGTGTGGTGGAGGTATGTCACGCCTCCAATTCCTGGAAACTGAGGAAACCCATGGATTCACTAATCATTGGGTTCTTCCATACAAAAAGTAGGCATGACACCTAACCCCTGTGAATAAGGGAGTTAACAGTAATCAGCTCCCTATCCAACGAAGCCTCTTATCTATCAAAGGATTCATCAAGAACATATTGAAGAGGTTTAGCATAAATGAAACTCCTTAATTGCAAATCATCAACTTCATACACCTTTTGGCAAACCAAATCTCTCAATTCTTCAGGACAGAGTACAGAGAGTTTCTTTGAGAGATCACCACGCTTGTTGATTGCACCAATATTGGCTAGGGCAAGTTCACGCAACTGCAAAGAAGAAAAAATGCTAGTTGAAAATCGAGATGTATCTAGAACTATGTACTGAAACAATAGTCTAAAACAGCTTGCCCGGAGAAATACAAACAACATCAACATCAACATCCAAGCCTTAGTCCCAACAGATTCTGGGGTCAGCTAACATTGCATCGATACATGATATCGGAGCGAAGGGGAAAAGAAAGATAAGAAAGATAAAAAGACCTTAGGAATTCTCTTAAATGCAAGAAGTTGAAATGACTCAAAGCGATGATAATGAGCCAGGAGGGCCTCATCATCAGTCCTTTGCCTCCCTGAATGATCATCGATTGCAAACGTCTCATAAAACTGGAGTAAGTCAACAAGCTGACCGAAGAGTTTTCCTTTCTCATGCTTATACAGGGCACTTAAATGACACTTAGCAACAACAGCAACATCCGAAACAAGAGCCCTCAGATATCTGTGCATAGAGTGGAATCAGAAGAAAAATAAAAAACATAATGACAAAATGCAATTTGAACACTTTCAACAAAACATGCTGAGAAAGCTTTACATTAAAGGTATCCTCCTATATAGGAATATAAAAATCAACAGAGCATGCAACAAATACCTTCTTGTTGGCAGTTGGCTAAGGAGATCGATGAGGAACTCCACAAACCTTTCACAATATAAGATACAAGCATCATCAACTTTTCCGAAATCATCTTTCTCGCTGGGGAAAACCTTGGAATTAAGCACCTGATAAACGAGGGCAGAGGCATAAAATAAAATTCAAGAGAAGTATTGAAGACGATTAGCAAAATAACTATTCATTAACCGAGACCTCGAGAAACTCTTCAATCAGATTCCTCAAGAAATTCACTTCAATCTTGGTTGAGGGATCAAAAGGTTCTCCTCTTTTGGCTGCCTCCTTAGCTCGTTTTGCAATCCTTTTCCATTTTTTTTCAAGATCTGGATTCATACAGAGCTCCATCTATATTCGAACAAAGTAAACCAAAATATAAGATTGTAATCACAGGCTTAAATCAAATAAATGATTGATCATGTATAAACTCACTTGAAATCGACCATATGATAATGAATGCCAACACTGAAGTCCGGCTAATCCTAGAACCTTCTTATTCACAATCCCATCTTCTAAACTCTACAAGGAATAACACTAAAAGGGTTAATGCAATCAGAAATCAGGAAAAGCATACAAAACTAATATAGAAAGTTAGAAACAAGAACCATAAAGGCATAAATACAAGTGGAAAGAGCCTATAATGAACAGATTTTTGAAACTCATTTCATTCTCTCTTTATAATCCATCATTTCCAATGGAGCCAAAGACTTGCTATTTTTTGGCTTGGAAATATGATGGAATAAAGCAAAATGGATCACTAAACTGTTTGTGCTTCTTTGTTATGAAGCAATAATCAGTCCGTGCAATTTTCGACGCATTTTTCACCATGGGTCATCCAAAAACAGTCTCTCTATGCTTTAGTACAAGGGTAAGGCTGCCTAAATCCGACCCCCCTTACCCCACCGTAGGTGGGATCTTTTGCGGCACTGGGAAATGATGATGATGATCTCATTCTATCTTATAAGAAGTTGAAAATTGAAGGATCCAGCGTGAAACATTTCCATTGTGTTTTCACATAATTATAGTGATGTGTTGATGAGTTTTAAACAACTGAATTAGGAATACTCGTCCAAAAAGGTTGAATCCCCAACCCCAAGGGCCCCCTAAGCCCCGACCTGACAAAGCATATGAGAGGCTGTAAATCACGGTGACTCAGTCATCCAATGGTGGTAGACCTTATACTTGTGCGCACCAGATGTCCAAGCCAGCACACAGAAGTTGTAACCTCCACACGACCGATGCGAGTTTCGATCCTTGGTCATTTGTTCAAACTTCCCACCACTTGACCAATGGAGGTACCCGTGTGGTGATGATGTCACAAAAGGAAGAAGTAAACCCCCAATTGCCACTCGAATCAAGAACCACATATCATTGATCAGAGCTTAGAGTAACCACAAGTCTAAAATGGCATCATGAGTGGAAGTGGGGATGGACACGGAACACAAATGTCATAGAAAGGTAATAGTAAGAGATACACACAAGATGGAAAATGAGCAAGGTATAGATAGGGTTAGAACTACAATTACTTATAGACATTTGGACTACATACATTACTACAATGGGTGCATCAGAGAGATCTGTTTGGGGCTCTGGAAGATCCATGATAGAGGAAGGAGTTGGATCATGAGAGCCAATGGGGGCGACAATCATAACATGATGAGGATGATGTTGATAAATCTGCAAAGAAATTATAAAATCAGGTGAAGGCAATGGAGTGGAATCTAGGGGAGAGGTACGAACAGGTATGGATTTGTCGTGGTTGCCCTGATCAAGAATCTAGGAGAGTATAATACTATAATGACAGGACTGCAATATGGTAAGAGATCAAAAATTGTTGAAAGATCAGATGGAGATGAGTAGAAGATTGGAAATAAGATGATGACTCAAACAATGTCACATTCAGGATGGATAAGGTGATATTTTTGGTTTGATAAGTAACTATGCAACCCTTTTCAGGATGTGAATATCAAAGTAAAATACACTTCAAAGTCCCTCGGGTCTAATTTAGATCTCCACATGTGATGTTGGGTCTGAATATATGCAGAGGGGAGGGAGTCAAATAAAACATGGATAGGGAAGGCAATTGAGTATGGGGAGTCATTATTGATAAGAGAAGATTGCATATGATTGAATGATTGATTGATTAAGAAACATTTTGTGGGAATATCATCACCCATAATATGTTTAGGAGCATAAGCATCACGTAAAAGGCTTCAAGCTTTTCATCTAAGTGACCGTACTTACGTGATGTTATCCCATATTGTAGAGCAACAGATGCAACAAGACTAATGTGAAATTCCACGAGAACCCATATACGTGACAAATACGGTTTGCAAAATTGTGTTTCCACACTTTAAAATTTTTGAAACAGCTCAATCGTTGTTTTGTCATAAAAAAATCCCCAAGTACTAAGAATAATCAACAATGACACAGATTGACTTTGTCCTTTTGTGCTTTAATCTTCACTCCGGTGAGCTGTGCAAATGCCATGTCCTTCAATCGTGAGTTGTGCTAATTCAAGCTTCAAGCTTCTATATGTTTCTAAATGTTTATGTCGACACATATGTTTCTATATGTGTCGCCATAAAGAAATTTTAGAGTATGACTAGGTTTAACCCATTAGGTAGGGAAATCTATAGTCGTATGCACCTCTCTAAGAATGAGAGGTCGTGAATAAAGCTTTCAATCTTTCAATTTCATCTTCAAAGAACTCATTGAGTATTTTCTTGTCAAAGAAAATGACTTACAAGAGATGTACAAATCATTAATGCCTATTTTTTATACCTGGAAAGCATTTATCATGAAGAGTAGATAGTTGGTCTTTTCAGCAATACTTAAGTTTCTCCCCTGCAAGCAAAAACTTGACCATTAAGAATAATTTTGCATCTACAAAAACTGAAAAATAGCACAATTATCATGCGCCAAGTCTTATACAATCTTAGAAATTGACTGGGTTGGTTGAATCTGCTAAAACTGATGAAACTCGGGCTGAATCTTCTCATATATGGAAATATTATACTACGTATTTAAAATATTATTTATCACTAAAATAAAAATAAAAAGTTATATGAAAATAGTTATATAGTAACTTTAACCAATTCAATTAGAAAAGTAGCTTCAACTTTACTTATTTTGATTATTAGACAATTTAGCACGCGAAATCAAACGTTACGTGTTCGGTAAAAAAAAGTCGACCAATAAGACTGACAAGCTAAAAACAAGGGTTACCAAATGGGCTCTTATATTCACATTGGGATAACTAAATGTGCAGACTTCAAAAATGGTTGTGTATCAGGGACAGAAGTGACAAAATAATAAGCACAATAAAATCTAACAAATAGGTAAAGATATATTAGTGATGGTTAATAGCACAAAAGTGAATACTTATTAAGAATCTCTTATGGAACCGAATGGCTTACTTATGCTCAAGCTTAATTTGAGGTGATGTGTGCATTCAACTTTTGATAGTATGTAGAACAGTGAGATATAACTCTAAAGGCATCTTCGAGAATATTTCCCCTTATATATCTCTTTCAAGGTTTTCATAGAATGTAGATAATTTACAACATCCAAAACACTGGGAAACTGAAAATGAGAGGAGGAGGAGGAAGGTTTAGAAGGACAATGGGTAATAATTTTCATCTCGCTATTTTTTCCTAGGAGAAAAGTCAGCAAATACTGATTTTTTTCTCACAATTTCAAGTGTCTTGTAGAGAAGAATACTGACATCACGATGAAAATTAAAACAGAAATAGACAATAGTCAAATAGAGTAGATGAAACTAAAGACTCGACATGCAATGGAAAACATGAAATCCTATACATGCTTAGATATTTAGGTAAGTTTTAGCCCTCTTGCCTACGGACAAGAAACGCATCTAGAAAAATAGTGTGCTCACAAGCAGGAACTTCTTACCTCCTTTAGAGAAAGGACCCTGTCAAGAAATGATTCGAACATATCTTTTTTATCATGAAAACATAACCAGGAAGCAACATTTTCCCGGAACTGCAAAATCGCATCAATTGTACCAATTAGCAAGTAAAAGTAGTGATGAAAATTTAAGTGTCATAAGCCAGCCATTTTGACTAAATAGAACATAATGGATGGATAGGCTCCATACTCCACAAATGTAATTGTGTAACCATCGTACCTTTTCATTCACCATGAGTATCATTGACATGACGTGCTCAAAAGTAGAACTCTCTGGATCAAAATTTGGCCACAGGTAATTCTCCAGGTACTGGCTCACTTCCAAAATCATTACCCTCTGCAGTGGCACAGGCTTTCTACCCCCTAGGGTCAACAAAGAGTTCAGCCCAAAATATCACATTTAATCATAACTGATGTATAGCATGACTAGGTGAGCAGACAAGGTGAAAACCTGGTTTACCCCAAAAATACCTTCTCAACTTTGATCATTAAAGCTTGTTTAAGCTCAAATATTAGGTTTAAGGATTCTTCAAGTTATTTAAATGCGAAAGATGTGAAAGTTAACACACCTTCTCATTAGCATATACTGAAACTGATAAAACAAGAAAAGATCAATGCAGAAAAGGAGGAAAGAAATACTACAAAGTTGGATACAACCATCTCCAAACGCAAATAATATCAGGTAGACAAAAAATGTCTAAATTGTACAGCTTTCGGTTTTACCTTTTACTGTTAGCTCAGTATAGTAAATTTCATTCACTAAATTCGCATCAAAAGGCTTCTTGGCTGCAATGTCGGTTGTACTCGACCAATTGGCAGCTGCAATTTTGGTGAGGCGGTCGCGTTGGATCTCACTGAGGGTTATGGAGCTAGGAACATTTGATATGGGTTTCGACTCAGGTGGCTTCTGGGGGATATCCGACACAGCTGGCGGTTGTGGTACCCCCTCTACAGGGTATTCCGCCACTCTATGACGCCGGAAATCATAAAGTCCAGTTCCATACACCTTCGTCATTGTTCTTGGTATCTTTGAAATAAACGCATATACCTCCGGCCAATATATATGCGTACAGCTCAAAGCCAGGGCCGACTATGAGAGCAATTAGCCTCAATGTTTAGGACCCAAATTTTAGGGTCCTCCAAAATTATTTAAAAAAATATTGTTATGGGAAAAAGGGCAAGCAAATTTTTTTATTAATTTTTTTGAGCATCTTCTTCATTAAGTCTAGTTTACTCATACCAAATTTCAGCTAAAACTTCAACCGGGAAGGCTGTCAAATAATTTTCTGAAATATATTACGCTGTTTAACTGCGTAGTTATCTTCTAAAATTATTTGACTGTCTTCCTAATTGCATTTTAGATAAAATTTGGTATCGGTAAAATAGACTTAATGAAGAAGATGCTAAAAAAAATCATCAAAAAATTCAACCGGTAACCACCCCAAATGGCGACGGCCAGACAAAGCCTCCTATAAAAGAGGCGATTTGCATTTTTCGATTAGTTCGAGAACTTATTTGCCCCTTTTTGTTATCCTCCATTTTTTAAATAGTTGCAACAATTTGAAAAGCTGGAAAAAATCATAGAATCTCTCTCTAGCGGCGTCGCATCGGCAAATCCTTTTTTGTGTTTAGGGACTTCGGTTGGAGTAAAGGGTAGTGGTAGTCGGCGTGGTAGCCGCATCGTTTCGTTTTGGTAGCGAGGAGGTCTGGTCAGCTTTGGTTTCGGTAGCAAGGATTCTCTGTCGGGGGATAAGGCAGAGTTCGAATCTGGACAGGGGAGTTCGTTTGTGAGATAGGAGGCAACAAGGGCTGTCTGGAACGGATTGTTGACCACTACAAGAAGATAAGTACAGGAGAGGAAGCTGAGGAATTGGATCTGGATGATGCCGAGCTTGATGATGTTCCAGTTGAGGTGACTTGGTCGAGCTATCTGGTGGTGGGAGTTTTGTTAATAGACAGGAAAATAAAGTTTCTGGTGTTCAAAGAGCTTATGGCATCTCTATGGAGGCGTTTTGATCAAATAAATTAGTGATAAGAGGTACCTATTTACTTTTTATCATTCTGTTGATAGGAAACATGTTCTTGATGAAGGTCCATGACAATTTGAGAGAAATTTGTTGATTTTGAAAGAAGTTAGGCCTGGTGATATTCCGCATAAGATTTGTTTAAATGAGATCGAGTTTTGGGTACAAGTTCACAATGTCTCATATAGCTTGATGAATTTAGGTACAGTTGGGCGAGTTGGTAATTTTATTGGGAAGTTTGTCAGTTATGAAGATAACCAATTTGGTGAAAAGTGAGAATCTTATTTGCGAGTTAGGGTGTGTATGAATGTGGAAAAGTCTCTCAAAAAGGATGAATTGATCATTGGGTGGATTTTAAGTATGAAAAGTTGCCAAATTTCTGCTTTGTATGTGGCATTGTAGGGCATTCTGATAAATTATGTCCATTGGCTTATGAAGCAAATCTTGTAATGGAAAAACTTTTGGGCACACTTTAGAGCAGGTAGTGGGGTGAAGACCAGTCCTACGGGAGGAAATAAGTGGTTGATAGATGGATCTTCAAGGTCGAGTAGGGATCCCCAACATAAGGAGGACAATAAGTTAGATGGTAGGACGAGAGGTGGAAGGAGTCAACATCAGGAACGGCTAATACCTCAGCTAGAGAAGCGGAATTGGGAAACAATGAGGAGGTGTCTGGAGAGCAAAAACGCAGGCGCATCTGGGAGGCCCAACAAACAGAGAATCGAGTGGGAGATAATATGGCTCTACATGGGACAAAAAAACGGGGAGGAGACAGGCTTCGAGGTGTAAGCCCACCAAAGCTGCTCACACAAAAGTCAATGCCAGGATTATAGAAGGTGGTGGTGATCGGAAAGCTGGGACAAGACTTTTATTTTTTCACATTTATTTATTTTGATCGTCTGGATATTTTTGTTTATGTTCAGTTTTTTACTTTATTCTGCTGTAAGACTTAGCTAGCTAGTTTTACAGCGAGTTAGTTAATTATGTTATCTATTGAAAAAAGACTTAGCTAGCTAGTTTTTACCGTGGTTATATTCTTATCATTTTTTCACCTCAAAAAATAAAAAAAAAAGGATTAAAAAGCAGTATAAGCTTAATGAGTCTTGCATGTGTTAACAATTACAAAATTATTGTTTTAACGTTCACGGTATGTACTGCACTTAAATTGTGTGTGTTCATTCAACTTATCATATATAATATAATTTTATTTATAGCTTTGGTGATGTAGAAAGAGGTTTCTCCAAAAATATTACCAAAATAAACTTATTTACAAAACTATGATTAAATGTTATTATAGTATAATGTCATCGCCATTAAAGTTAAAATTTCAACGTACGTTACAATGAAGAAAAATACTATTATAGTCACTATACATAAGTAGACACATTTTTGTAAATATCTTTTGATTTAGCATAAATTTATTCTTATTTGATATAAAAACTGTTGAGAAAATCAGTCTTAATTAGGATCTAATCTCACTAAACATGATAAAATTCATAGAATCAAGCAATAAGAACATTAACCGGGTGAGGAGAAACTGAACGTTGATGGTGTTGTAGAAGATGATGAAGTCATGATGTTTAGATTCTCTAAGGATACAAGCGGATTTTAGATGGATTGTTAAGTCTCCATTGGGTCTCTTTATATTGGTGTTCTTGAGACCCTCGGGAAGAAACACGACTCTTCCCTTTGTCGTAAGAATTGGAACGAACATGTGCTTTATGTATCTTACTATATACAAAAGGAAGTGGAAACTTAGCCATCTTTCCCGCCCAAAATCACGGGTCAAAAAACGGGTAAAAAAACAGGTCCGATTGGTTGAAAAATAGTGTCCATGTAAGGCGTAGTAGCTGTAATCCGTAGGATAATAAGACTCTCCAACTCTTTGCCCAATGTTTTTCTTGAACACGTGAGTGCACTGTGCACTACAGCTGTCTGTTCATTGGGTGGAGAACCCACGGAGCTTCCAGAGACATAGAGTTGCACACTTACACTGTAGCTGCGCCATAAATAATGAGCCCCCGTCTTCAGACGAGCCTTACATCAATATATACCTACGCCGCCCTAAGCCTCTGCATCAGGAAGCCGACTCCAAGAACCGGCGACGAGGCTCTTGACTCACAACACGCTATCGTGTAACATCAAGGGAGTAACAAATGGATTTCCTCTTTTGATCGAGGTAGAGAAGGCTATGGAAAAGCCGGTGGAATTCAATGCTGATTTCATCAGGAACCACTTCCCGAAGATCAAATGGAAGGCGCTGGTGGAGGCTCCGAGATCGAATTGAATGGAAGATGCGGACGCTGCCACCTTCATGCTCAAAATTGAAGAGTTCCTCCACGAGGTACATCACGCACTCCTCCAGATTCACCTCGAAGGAGCGCTAGTCTGCCCACAAACTGGCCGGAAGTTTCCTGTTAGTTAGTGATCCCCAATATGCTTCTTCACGAGGATGGGTTTTACATTTATTTTTATTTTCTCCTCTATTTTATAATGATTTTCGGATGAATTAAGAGACGTGAGGTAGAGTACAAGTGGCTGATTTATACTCTGAGCTTTCTAATAAACATCCTACTTTGATCTTTCTCACTGTTTACTGTTTATGTTGATGAACTTACACTCAACGACCTGTGATATCAAAGCAACTCCAACCTTCTTCCTTGAAAGCGAACAACGAAAATGATAAAATGGCTGTAACTGGTGGAAATGAACAAGCCAGGGCCGCTAGCTAAAGAGGATTACATCAATTGTGGACATCAAAGCTCCTCCTGCGCATAAATAAGCTATTATAGAATTGGTTTTCTTCTTTAATTTATTTGATCTTCATAAATTTGTTTTTTTTTCTTTTATTAAAACTTAAATCTAAGTATATTGGAATATTGCAATTGTAAATATGACAGGCTTTGGATGACACCTTAAAAAACTCCATGTGAGAAGGATTGGTGGAATTTTGGCCAAAAGCTGCTGCAAGACTTTTGTTGGGCTCAAGATAATGTGTGCTCGGCTTCTCAAGGCATAATGAAAAGGTGCGTGAGACCGTGGGGAACTGGGGAAGTGACAACTCATTGCATGAGCTTGAGTATTTGTAATTTGTAGGTTTATTTGAATTTAAAAGTGGGTCCTAATCAACTTTAAACCTCACACATGAACGAAAACAATCAAATAAAACTAGGGAGTATTACATTTGGTCCCACCCCAGGAGCCCTCCATACCCTGACCCGACATGATTTTTGGGACTAGGGAGTATTACATAAAACTATTACAACATGTCAACTTCTTGATGCTTGCTTCTATGAATAAATTAAAACACCAAACCACTATAAAAAATAATACTTTCTCCGTCCCTTAAAATTTTGCCAAGTTTGACCGGCATGAAAATTAATAAAGTAAAAACTGTGTGGTTGAGATTTGTGTAGAGAAGAGAGGATTAACTGGAATCACAAATTCTTTACTTAAAAGGGAAACTGACAAAGTTTATGGGACATCTAAAAATGGAAAGTTGACAAAGTTTTAAGGCACGGGAGAGATGACGGTATACACCATATTTACTTTTATTAGCATTTACAGTTCTCCCTACTATTTTATGATGTTGCTCCCATTAATAATTTATATGGAGTATTAATTTGAAATTTGAATTTGCTCATAAATTAAACTTTAAATATAATTTGAATCTAACGAATGTTAGTATCTGCTTCATTTCATTTGTTATCAAAGTGTAAAAGTGGTTGTTTTTAATGTATTTCTTTGAACTCAATCTATTGCGGGGAGCTGATTTTTTTCAAACTTCAACACAAATCTATCTATATAAAAAACAAGTGGGATTTTTTATCATTTTCCCACTCAAAAACATCCCATCCCATCAAATACATGCAAATTCTAAAAAAATAGTGGTTTTCTTTATGAAACACAATACCTAATTGGATTTAGTTAAACTTTCATTTTATAAAATTCAAATTTGAAATATAAATCAAAATTTTAACTTTTTGTAAAAAAACTGAGTTGATTGTTGAGATTATTGTACAGAGATAGAACCAATCAATGCAGCCATTTCAGTCAGTTTTTTTATAAATTTTGGTTGAATCAGTCAATGCAGT